AAATATGATTTTGTTCCTTGTACAAACTAGCAGAAGTCTATTTTACATTCTTCTCAATGAACTGCTGCAAAATATATACTTTAAAAAAAATACAGCCAATATATATATATATTGATAAATCAAAATTCTCATTGGCTGGTACTAATCTGAGATACTAAAATGTACAGAACCAGCATACATATTAATATGTTAGATGTTTAACCCTATTTTGTGAAATCCAAACTAAGGCCCAGATCCAATCAATAGCATCTGGGCAGACAACAGAGCATGGGAGCAGCAAGTCCACCTCTATGCTGAAACCGACTGTTAATTTTCCACACAAAAAACTCATAAAAAGGAACAAACGTTAACTATAAAAAGAGAAACAGTTGCATAATATCCAGAAGCCTCTCCAGAAGTGTCATTAGTACAATACATTTTAAAAATCTAAGTGATATCTTACCAGTATTCAACATGCACTGTTACTCCCATGCTTTCTGTTAAAATTTCTTTTTCCTCTTGCGGTTATAAATTGTGTGGTACTGATTTAGAAACAACCAGAAAAAACTGGGTAGCTGTGGAAAAGTGCAGTCACAGGCTGAAAAACAAGTGCCGCTCCTCTCCCAGATCACATGGCTGCTCATCGGTAGCTAGGGAACCAGCCCTCTCGGTGGACTCACCTTTTATGTACTTTCGTGACAGTGCAGTTAGATTGTTTAGCACTGACATACATCAGCACCTAAATACTGCAAGGGAACAGTCCTTAATACCTTCTGTTGCATTTGGCTGATTGTTTTATTTTAAATTAACAAATTAGTAACATTAAAAGGTTCTGGATGAAAGTGATATTGATGGCTGAAGAAGTGAGATTGCACTTTATTTTACAGGAAGTTGAGTCAACAGCAAAGAAAATGCCTAGTCATTTTATGATCACATTTTATGCAGATTAGTCCATCAGAATACTTTAAAAAAAATAAACAATGAAAAAATATTGGAAAATCTAGCTGAATGTGTCAGCTAAAGAATATATTCTGGGGAAAATATTTCTTTAATTGTGTAAAGTCAACAACAAATGCTCCTTCAGTATGAAGATCAATTCAGGGTTCCATATTTTCATTATAAAGGAAAAGAGAAATTTTTAATACATATCTTTTAACAATAGTTTAAGAACATACTAAAATCAGTTAATTGCCATTTGTTTTCAGATGGTTCAGAACAGATCTCCTGAATTACTGGAATAGATTTTAATCTTTTATTTTCAAAAATGTAGAAACTTGTTGAAAATATGGACTTTCAGTATTGTACCTATTTCTCCTATCTGATATTTTAAAGTATGCAGTGGATAGTTTAAAGCAGCAGCCTGAAACCTTAGGTAAAGGCACCAACTATGGTGAATTGTGAATCTGTTTTCGGGTATAGGGAAAGGATGATGAATATACTTTGCTGAATCTTCTATTCAGTCATGGAGAAAAAGCAAACTTTACACACTTAAATTTAAACCTAGTCATTTTCCTAAGTTATGATCCTGATCTCCGCCCCTCCCCTAAATTTAGCCCAAACCAAACCAATTAGCATGGAATATCATGCATGTTCCAACGGGGAGAATTAGGTTAGATAATTTGAGGTTAGTGAGACAATGCATTTGGCACTTAAGAGTATTAAAAATTAAGGGCTATTCACTTTTGAAAAAGTCCTGCTATTTTTTCACCACATCTCAAACAGCTTGGGAAACAGTTTGCATTTAATTTTTGTTGTTGTTGTTGATCTCAATTAGCACCTTAAGGACTATTTTTGAAATTGTGATTTTCTTTTCTTAATTCTGGAATTGGAGCCCCAGGCCCCGCGCTTCGGGACGCAGGGTCCAAGACGGCCTAGGGAGTTAGCGGGGGACCTGGCACCAGCAGCAGTGAGTGACCTGGCCCCACCCTGCCGGCTCCCGGTGTCGCTCGGGAGAGGGGGTAGAAGCCAGAAAGAGGCGGGACGGGGTCTTGGGGGAAAAGGGTGGAATGGGGGCGGGGAGGGGGCAGAGGGTGGGGTTGCCACAGGCCCCACACCCTTCTAGGGATGGCCCTGTCTGGATTATTTTATATTTTATCTGGCACTTAGAAACCTGTAAATCTTAGGACACAAATGTGTTCTCAAGCTGGCAATGTATGTGGGATTAGACTCACCCCCAGCTCAGTACTCAAACTCCTACAGGGAATTCCAAGTCCTGCACATAACTTGCAAGCTCTGCGGGAGTCCTGGTCCTAATGCTTTCTCTGCTCCATAGTGGAGTGGCTACACTGGTCTACAATTTTTGAGAAGCCGTCTGCTTCAGAGATAAAATGTGCTATTTATTATGTATTTTGATGTGCTGAATTCAAATATGAATTAAAACAACTGATTGGCTACTGTTTCTAAGATATTTAAGTTTTTACATTTAATGTCTATGTATATTGTGTAGATAGTAGAGTTTTAATCATAAATTGTAAACCTAGGTCTTTTCATGTGTTTATGGCTGCTTTACATGATAATATTTC